TCAGCTAAAAACTATGTTTTAAAACAAATCATTTGATAGTTAGAAGAGTTATATCTTCTTAGTAATATAAATTAGAAACAGCTTTAAAATAATCGTCTCTGTTACTCTTTCTCACTCCTCTAGAGTGAAATCAAATTCTAACTTTTAGTCTGTCAAGAAATGATAAAAATAATTTTTGATCAGCCTCTCTTCTTTTGTTTCGAATGTGAACGATTACTAGTATTTTTTTTTTCTTTTATCAATCGAATTATATGATGGGGACAAAAAAAAACACAAAAATCAGGTTTTTCCTTATTTCGTTCTAATCATCAATCGTGTCAAAAAAACTCAAAGAAAATTCATTTTTTTTGACAAAAATAATCAAATTTTTTCCATGTTAACAATCACACTAACACAAGAAAAAAAATGTTTTTATATTTTTCTGATATTTCATTATGTGCCGCAATGTTATTCAAAATCATTTTTAGCAGAAGAAAAACGAGAGAGAGAGAGAGAGAGAGATAAACAGGACTATTACAACATATGTATCGAGCTCTTGTCAAACTTAATCCAAAACAGCCTTAATTATGAAATTTAAGAGTGTTTATTCTGTAAACTTTGGCAAAGTCGATAAACTTCTTTCCTATGTATGATCTCTCTGTCGATCAGTAATAAAATGGGCTCGTAGTAATGTTTTCAGTTTTATACGTGTACAATGATTAGATTGGATGTCACAGAAAAAAAAACTCTGCTAGGTGATTCGAAACATTGTCTGTTCAACAAACGATTTTCTCATGAAAAACATGTGTTGTACGTCAAATATAGACTCATATATCTTTGAATCAATAGACAACATTGATTTATTTAAGTTTTTTGCTAATAAACAATTTAAAAGAATTGTATCTTTAATCGCTGTTGGATCTTTGCATTCGATAATCTGGTTGATATCTCACAATGTCCTACGTTGTTTAGTTCACTTTAGTTTAACATTGCGCAGTTAAAATGAAATATTTCTCTGATGCTATGCCGTCAATCGCTATGCTGACATTTTGCATGAATGAAGCACAGTAAAAATGAATTATCTTCAAATTGACATCATCTTTGGAACTTTCTTTTCAACAGTTTATGAACATTAACATCAGAACTAAGGCAAAAAGAGACTTAGTTAAATAAAATAAAAAAATTCTTCAAACTACTTTCTATAAAATACTTCAGAAAATAGACAAACTCTTCGAAAAAGTTAGTGTTGAATATTCGTTTTCGCACAAGATTATGTAAAAATGTTTGCTAAAGTACATCTTATATCGCAAATACGACCAATATCTTTGAAACAGTTTGTAATGATAATATAATTGTCCTGTCTTACTTAGAGTAGAGCAACTATTACTTTAATCGTAATAGTAACAACAAGAATTCTTTATTAACAAAAAGCATATGAATAAAACAATAGTAAATTGTTCTGTATTCTAATGACAAACGTAGATTAATGAATTAATTACATCAAATGCTAAGTATCTACTAACTTTTTTTCGAATACACGCTGTTAGAAAGATCGTTTATATTTACCTTTTTTATCTTGAAGCAGCAGAAAATATTATACGTTTTACGCTATTATAACCATTTGAAATTATCTCTATTGGCGTTTTTTCATTGAATTTTTTTCGTCTATAAGGCAATGGTTCAATTTAGATATACATAAAATGTTTTTTTCTCCTCTGTTACGTACGGTTAAGTCATGAATATGAAACAAAAAAATTGTTTGCTTTTTTTTCTCTCCGATCAAAGTAGCTCTAAAGGAGAAGTGATCGTTGCAAGAATAGATGAACTCTTTTTTTCGCAGTATACACGAGTTGGAAGCCAAATATGTTTTCTTGTTATTAAAAACCGAACGAGAGAGAAAGAAAGAGAGCAATCCTCATTGTTTCTAAAAAACCGACAATTTTTTTTCCACTCTACAGATCCTTTTTTCCTCTTACGGATGAGGGGCACTTCTTTTAATCAGAGAGAGACTCCGTATATGGAGAATCTTGAAAATTTTTCTACTAGTCTGCAACAAAAAAAACTGCGAAACTTTCTATAAAAATTATATCAAACGAAGAAAAATATAGATATTTTCCAGATGGAAAAGAAAAAAAAAAATAGAAAAAAGAATATCGTCACGATTCACCAAGAAAAAATTAATAAGAGGTGGAAGAAAGGAAAGAAATTAACAATGCCGTTCTGAGTTCATTACTAATATGCACCCCCTCTTGTCAACATAAAAAATTAACGAATTCCAAAGAATCTGTCACATTTGATGAAATCTAGAGTTAGAACATCTTTATAGTTTTTCTTGGTGGTATACAATGATCTCATCTCCTTTAACCTCAAAATTGATGAATTGACTAGAAAACTTTTGTGAACTATACATTTGACCAGAGTTGGAGAATCTGCTTGTTTGCTCCGACGGTCATCGGGAGAAAACTTATTGATTCGGAAAAATTGAAATATCTTTTTGCAAATATAGTGCAAAAAGAAATTCTGTTCGTGGATTATGTTGGGGAAGTTTTTGAAAAAAATTTTTCTATGGAGGAAAATTTTCCAATCTCATGGGTAGATTCGGCATCTGACTGCTACCTACACGTACCAATTACCGTGAAACAAAGTCAAGCGATGGATTAAACCTTTCTTTTTTCTTCTCAGTATACATACTCTTTTGTGTTTCCTGTATCATTTTCCTAATACAAAACTGTATTTTCATCTCACTTATCCTCGTTATTTATGAGAAATTTTTTCTAATTTAGATTCGAACATGTAAGCTTCTTCTCTTTATAATTTGATATCCTAACTATGTAACGATTACAGATTCGAAATAGAATAGATAAGCTATTTATACATGTAAAATGAGATTGCTCAATAATACGTTTTCATGCGTGCAAATTTTTAACGAGTAAAAAAGCGATTTGTTAAAACTTTCTGTTTTTGTCTGATTGCCCAGAGGGACGAAATGATGCGTTAATAACATTTCTATCAGCAGTGCAAACTTACCTCTACAATATAACAATGAAAGTCTTCAACTTGAATTCTTTTCATAGTAGTGTAACAGTGGGTGTTTGTGACTAGTGAGCAAGTAATGGATAGTATAGTCCTATTACATACAAAGTTTGTATCAGTCAGTGACATAGCTTCCACAAAATTGTATTGTGTCTACAGTAATAGAGTGTGACATTTCATATGACCGTTTGAATGATTCAAACGGTCATATGAAATGTCATGTTAACTACCCATGAGCTTTAGAACGGTTCTAAAGCTCATGTTTAGTTAAATACTTTGTCTAGTGCAAAAAGACAGAGAAATTCGTTCTTCTTGTTGAATGCACCTGTTCAAATATATTAATAGTGGATAGGCTAATGAAAAAACTTCTCTGATTTCGCACACTTTGGAAAATCACAACTGATTATATGAAAGGTTTAGAACAACTAATACGAAAATTTAAATGTTCGATTACGATTTGTATAAATGAGTCATAAAAAAATCACCTGCTCCCGATTTTAACACAGAGACTTTTTTCACCTTCCCAGAATGGTTGAAACGGTACCGCTTGCAGCCCGTAATAAGGCAGTTAACAATAAAAAAACGGCACTATTACGGCTGTAAACGGTGGAATACTGACCGTTAACGGTGCGTATTTCACCGTAAGAGCGTACGCAGTATTACGGTCCGTATCTTCGTACACACACCCGTAAAACGGCTCATATCTCACGTAAAATATGTCGTAAGCGCACGTTCGTATACGGTACCCTATACGGACCACCGTAAATATATCGTTTTTTAATCGTTTACTGCCGTTTTGTCGGCCCTGGGTGACTACGAACACAGAGCTTTTTTTCATTTGCAGCGATGTTCAAAAGTATGTAAACGACAAAAAAATAGAATAGAACAACAATATAGCGCTCCCACTATGGTCTAAATGACTGAAAAATTACAGAAACAGATATCTGTACTTTTACAAAGGCACTATATCTTTCTGAATACGTTGACTTTACAGAAAAGTTCATTTTTTTGTAGGTCAAGAATCCCATCCATAAAAAAGTCTCTTCAGCATCAATACGACACTTATGCTGATAAAGTAGGAATTTTACTTACTTCTTTGGCGTTTATTTGGCATGAGTGTGCATCCAGGCCATACAAAAAAAAGACAAGTATTTAATGGATGAAAATAAACAAAATGAGAGAAAGAGAATAATAAGAAAAGAACAACAAAAATAATAATAAAGAACAAAATGGAGAAAAGTATAAACAACAATATGCGAACAACAAATAAAATGAAAAAGAAAACTAACTGTGGAGCATCTTGTGGAGAATATCATTTTAAAAGATGAAAGAGATACCGGTGACAATTCATGTTCAGCATTCTCTGAGGAACTAATTGGAGAAGAGTTTTTATCGATTCAAAACTAGCAGATAAATATTTCTCCACTATAAGGTAGAAGTGTTCTAGGGGACTTGAACAATTTGAAAGTTCAAATTATACTTGGTACGGGTGGTACCATCACAAATCTCCGACAAGATTGTTCGAACACATGCTTCTCCGTTTCGAAATGAAGAGAACATGTTCCATGCCCAACATCCAGTGACATCTTATGGTGGACATTTTAAAATCTTTTCTTACATTTCCTAAAACCCCAAGATAAGTTTTCATAAATTCTTGTTCTTTAAGTGGTATTGTGTGTCGGGAGTTTCGAAAAAATGCTGGATCATTTCTGATTGGTTAACTAAAGAGTTAATCTTAGTGATGGTAATGGTTGATTTTTTGATCTTTCAATCTTTGCTAATATAAAAGCTATTTATGACAACTAAATACTTTTTGTTCTAAAACGCGACGAAGATTTTATGAGTAGCTTTGATAAAAAGTGCTATAAAAGACGGTCAAGTTCAATAAAACTAATCATTTGTTTTTCTTTTTTGACTTTTCTGGTGAAAAATGTGTGTTAAATTGTCTTCCCCTGGTTAGAATTATCATGCGTTTTTTATGAAAAATTATGTTAAAACGACTTCGCAACATTTTTGGTGCAACGACCAACGATGATAAACTCAAAAAGAAAAAGTATGCATCAATATTGAATGAACGTTCACCATTGCAAGAATGGAATTTAGTGAAAGAATTAGGGGATGGTGCATTCGGAAAAGTTTATCAAGCTTATAGTGAAAAACTAAAACAGTATGCGGCTGCTAAAGTCATTGACGAATGTCCAGACGACGAATTAATGGAACACGTAGTAGAAATTGATATACTGTACGATTGTCAACATGAGAATATCATTAAATTCTATGATGCTTATTATCATGAACAAAAACTGTATATATTTTTGGAATACTGTTATTTCGGGGCAGTTGATCACATCATGACAACGTTGGATCATGCTTTGAATGAACAACAAATTCGATTTATTGCGCATGAATTGATTGAAGCGTTACACTATTTACATCATATTAAATTTGTTATTCATCGTGATATAAAAGCATCCAATATTCTATTAACAGAACGTGGAGAAGTAAAACTAGCCGACTATGGAGTATCGGTTAAAAATTCGAGTTTGAATGAAACAAGAAATGAGTACATAGGAACGGTTTACTGGTAAGATTTATCGAACACATGTAAGCTGTTTATTACTAGTCAAAAAAAGTCTTCTGTGTTTAGGATGAGTCCGGAAGTATTTTTTTGTGAAGCGAATACGGATAATAGATACGATTATCGTGTTGATATTTGGTCATTTGCTATTACACTGATTGAAATGGCTGAAATGGATCCACCATATCATGAGATGAAAGCTGAACGTGTTGGAGCTAAAATTCGTCAAGGTGAACCGCCGACATTGAGTGAAATAAAAAAATGGACTAGCGAATTTTCAAACATACTGTCATGTTGTCTGAAACGTGATCCAAATCAGCGTTTAACAACAACAGAATTGAAACAACATCCATTTATCATCAATTCAACAAAAAATCAGCCAATATTATACTTATTAGAAGAATATAAAGCTGTGCCAATCGTTGTTGTCGTTGAAGAAGATGTTGTTATCGACAATAAAACAAGTAAGACTTATTCATTTCTAATGTACAAAGAAAAACAAAAGTACTTTCACAAACGTGATTAACACTTTAAACGTTTTACACTCTTAATTTTACTTGAATTTGGATGTCTTATCTCATCATTTTAGATCCACAACCAGTATCCTCGAAATTACCGCTAAATGAAATTACTAATGATCGTCGATCATCAACAACATCGATCATTGAAGGTTTAAAACAATTTAAAATTCCAAGTGATGCTCTAGTGGATGCTGAAGAGGATGAGGATGATCTGAACGATGATGAAGAGATAGGGGCTGATTTAGCCACAGCTATCGATGGTGATCAGAATGCAAATGATAATGAAAATAGTGGTGGCATTATACTCACCAAAATACGAAGATTATCAAGTATCGAAGCAATTCCAACTATAGAGATAAAACAAGAGGAAGAGGAAAAAGAAAAGGAGCTACTGAACGTAACGACACAACCCATCACATCGAAGTGAGTTTGGATTCCGATCTAGCGTTCTTGAATCATATAGGTTTTGCATATTTCAGGTCTAAGATTTGACTAATGATTTTTGATTTATTTAGTGCATCAACAAAGCCACCTACAGTTTCTACGTCCGTTCCTTTGACGAAGTCCAATAGTGTAAATAATACTTCAGTCATTCCTGTTGCACCTCCATTACCATCGTGCCTCGAATCTCAATCGACAGAGTTAGATACAACATCAGCTCAAGATAACAGTGATTATGATCAACATTACTCTAATTTAAAACAAGGATCTGTGGTCATTACCACATTGTTTCCATCCAAACAAACATCGCCATCTGAGACAACAGATAACTTTTCAAAAACTTCTTCGCAGCCAACCATTAATAAATTGCCAGTATCGATCGTGCAACAGACAGAAACGCTACCAAACTTAACAACTGTTACACCTTCATCACCTTCCAAAACTAAACAACCTGATACGCTGTTCTCAGCATCCAGTGACAGAAATTCATCAGTTGATCTCACATCAGTATATATAAATGGTAACGAACATCAGCAATTACCACGAATTGAAGTTGGACGATTAAATATAGAAGATGTTATATCATCCGATCAAGAATTAGATGATATTTGTCGAACATATGTTAACAGTTTAATTGAAGAAGTTATACAATCAGATTTTGAAAAACCGTCTTTACCAGAGGTTAAATTATGCTGTTTTTAAGCGATAAATCGATTGGTTACATATTTGATTGTATATTTAGGTTATTCTCGCCGTAATTACCGATTTAACCAACGACGAAACAGATGTTGACCTTTCTCATAACCCAGCAATCTCAACGCTTGTTGCTTCCATTTATCAAATGCCACCACCATCTTCCACTCTAGCAGCATTTAACGATCAACGACGTAGCCGTTCAATTGATATTTTGCATTCACAGTCACAACCACAAACACAGCCAGCACATTTTGAAAACAACGCCGGTAATAACAACCATAATTCTGTGTATAATTTTAGTACTATAACATGTAAAGCACGAAGTGTCTCACCAGCAACATTACGTCAATTAGCATTATCTCAGCCACAAAATGGAGGTGCGAATGGTGGTCTTGATTATTATAATATGGTACATCAAGCAGTGAATAATAACGGAATTGATAGACATGACTCAGTGAAGAGTACAAGTTCAAATCAAAGCCAAGAGTCATCAGATGCAACAACTTATCTTCAGGTACCTTTTCAACAGCATTCGTCTAGTCTTATCTTCTGTTTACTTTTCCCTAGGCAAGAGCTACACGTAGACGAACAATTCGGACAACAAGAAGATTTGTTGTCGACGGAAAAGAAGAAGAAATTGTTACAACAAAAATAGTTGAACCACACAATGATTATGCAAGGCGATTAACAGAACGGTAAAATATTATTATTACTCGATTTTTTCATTATTCGACATCTTTCTAATTTTTTTAGAAAAGAAGCAAATCGTGAATTTCGTCGTCTGTATCATTTGGAAGAAAAACGTCGACAACAATTACTCACACGTCATGAATATGAAATTGAAGAACAAAAACAAGACTTTCGACGTAAACGGGAAGATTTATGTAAAAAATATGAGTTTGAATTACAAACAATGGAGCAAAAACAGAAAGTAGAAATTGAACGAGAATCGTTATTATTAACAAATGAATATAATAAAAAAATAAAAACACTTAAATTAGATAATGAAAAAGATCTGAAACAGTTTCGTGAACAGCTGAAAGAACAATTGAAACAAATCAAACGTGATTATGAAACGACATCATTGACACAACAACCATCGCATCATCATAACACATATAACGGAACGATGAGTACGAACGTGATCGGTCATTCGAATGGTAAGCGTCGATGTGTAGTAGAATTTTTAACCGTTCTTTACTTGTCTTCTAGTATTTTTTTGAACAAATGCGGAATCATCTTGAGTGTGCCAGCGAAGTTTCTCCCATGATGTCTCAAACACAACCGATTGACGAGCCTTGTAAAGTTCGCCAACGTATACATGAGTCAGTTTTTAGCATTTTTGAATAAAGACCGAGGTAAAACAGATGATTAGCAGTTGTTCAAGTGACTTCGTAATATTTGTTAGTTGAAAAAAAATTGAATTTTACGAAAATATTTCGAAAGACTCCCTTTGTAATAGAACTACACATTATTATTGATTAGAGTTTTTGCAAGATCAAAGCAGCAGCACAAAATTTTGACGATAGGACTATAGTACTATAAAATTAAACCGCCAGCTGAAATATCATTGTGCATACATAGGGATGGCACCTTCCCTTCTATCGTGTAAAAATAAAATTTATTATCACTTGTAAAGGAGAATGAGTTACTGGATATAAATTGGTTACTTCATTAGAAAATTTTTAAATGTATATTATGAAGACATTTGTAATTCAAAATATTAGCAAAACAAACAAGAATTTCAACTTTGCTCACATTTAACGATCACTTTCTCTGGATAAGAAATGTTTTTACCTAAAAGAGAAAAAATCATGCCTTGGACGGTCTTTTGGACACTTGTTTTACTCGAAGAAAGACTATGATAAAATTAATAAAGGTCTGGTGCAGAGAACACCAAGTAAGACATTTTTGTGAATCAGTCAGTGAGAAAGAAATACCTTGACAGCCGTGAAAAAACTACAAAAAAAAACATTCGTACGATTATGTTGTGACATTCATAGACCAACTTTTTCCCATATTCTTTGAGATTTAATTTTTTTATTCTCTTCTTTTTTCTAACGATATATGAATGTGATTTTCATTAATCACTCAATTATTTTGAGTTTTATCTAAATATTTATCTACAAATTTATTAATATTATCATACAATGAGCATTTTTTTTTAATAAAAACTAACGGTACAGTTAACGTACAATTATCTGTTCGCGTAATCTTAAATATCGGTTGTGTCTGAATTTCGGAGCTGATGTTTCTTACATAGTTGCGCCATATGATTCGAATTTGAATTTTTCTATTTAGTTGGTCAATCGTTAACAATGAAAGATCGCAAAGATCAAATGAAACGTTATCTAACTGAAAAAGAAGATGAATTATATACGAAAGAAAAACATTATCAAGATAATCAACAGACACAACTTGAACAACAACTAAAAACAATTGAAAATTATCATAAACAACGTATTCAAACGTTAGAACGTCAATTTTTAATTGAAAGACAAAATTTATCAAAAACAAGAGAACAAGCATTATGGGAAATAGATGAGGGTATAGATATATTTTACTAAATATACATTTTATCTTTATAAACTACAAAAATTCTTTGTTTTTTTAGTTGAATTACGTTCAAGATATGATTTATTGAGAAAACAGACAAAAGCATTTTATTCACTTATTCGTACAATGTTAAATCAACAAGCTGAAAAAGAATTACAGCAATTTGATGAACAAGCTCGATTTGAACGTGATAATTTAGAACAATCAATAAATGAAGATAAACGAGAATGGCCAAGAATGTGGAAAAAAATGCAAAAAACAAGAATGAAACAATTTAAACAACAATTATTAATTAAGAAAACATCTGCTGAAGATGAAAAAGTTTTATTAAAACAAGTAGATATTTGATACAAGAGAAAACTCAATCATTATGAGTCTAATGTGTATTCTATTTTAGTTTGAAAATGATGAAAATGAGAAACGACGTTTAGATGAAGAACGTTTAAAAGAGAAACATCGACATTCAATACAAACTTTAACTGTTAAACATCAAAATGCACGAAATGAACTTCTTGTTGTACAGGTGAGATAAATAACAGTGATGAATTGTAAACGGTAACTATCTTGTTATCAGTGATATTTGTTCCAATAACAGAGGAAAACATGCGATTCTCAAACCTAATATTTTTTTAAAAGTATCTTAAAGTGTATTTGAAATGCAATTAACAAAATTCTAGCTTGTTTATATCATTTTTCTAGAGACAGAAACTTGAACAATGTGCTGAATTTGAAACAAGAAAATTACAAGAACTACAATCAACATTTGAATGCGATTGGGTCGAATTTCGTAATACACAGAAAACACGAAAATCGGTGAGTAAAAATGATGCTTTTAGCTATTGTTTCGTGAATTTTTCAAGCGTATAATTTAGGACTAGAGAAGAAAAAAAACGAGCATTAGAAGTGAAATTTTGCAATTTTGTTTTCTTTTCCATGCCTTAATTGATATAATACCCTTTATTGAATGAACAGACTAGATGTTAATCATATCTACACTTTTAAAAACAAAAAATCTTATTTTAGACAATAATCGAATAGTAAGAGCTAAAATTTAAAAATAGTTTGTCGAAAAACAAAAAAAGATGAAAATACAATAAGGTATAGTTTCTTTAATAACGATAATATCTCGCTTTTAAATAGCAATATTTGATTTTTGTTAGTACAAAAACATTTTATTCTTTCTAACTTGCTGTTAAAATGACTTCTTGTTAATAGAATAGCATACACGTGGATAATACGTATAAGTACCAAAGAATGTGATTCTAGATTTTGATCAATTTTATAAAAATATTCATGATGTTTAAAATATTTTGCATGCATTTTGGTTAAGTCCGAGTAGTATTAATAATTATTCTTCATTCTCATCATAAATCTCCTTTTCTGATCGAAATATAAATAAAAACTTTTGTACAACAACATTCACACCATCATCGTCAACATTTTTGAATCAAGATTATATTGAAAATGAGACTGATGAAACCTCATTGGATGTTTTGCTGGATCCAAATTTTCAATTGTTAAATAACAATAAACAAGAACCACGATTTCATCAAAATTATCTCAAACTATTTTCTGCTCAAAAGTTCTATCAAAATGTACCCGATCTATTATCTAATAAAATACGTGTACATCACCATTTACAGCTACTACTCAAAAACAAACATCTTCTCTATCAATATGGAATCGTGCATTGTTTTGATTCAGGCATCGATCTCTCTCACATATCAACAAATTATAATTAATAGGCAATACACTGTCTGGAAGAGATCCAGCTTCATCTCTCTATGAAATATCATCATTTTCTGTTCTTCAAATTTAAAATTATTCTTAATTTCTTTCTATTTTACCATAAAAAAATTATTCGAATGAGAATTCTAAGGTAAAACCGGAGTCAGAGTTAGCTGATACTAAATCGGTGACTTGTATTATTCGATGATTATTTTTGAATGGCTTGTACAATGATCGTTATTTTGTTAGTAGTTAAAACTAATATAAAATGACGCTTGGTCGAATAATGGATCTAGAGTGCCTTTATTGTACAAATGTTTTGTTTTTTGTTTTTTCTGTTTAATTTTTCTAGATTCGTAGTTAATAATACTCGCTATATGCTCTATTTGTTTTGTTTTACTTTTTCATTCAGTTTCTTTCTATTGTTGTTTCAGTCTTCCATGGGTGGTGATAATGTTCAAAACATTTTAAATACAATATCTGTATTTGATTTTCATTTAAACAAATTAAGTAAAATTCAACCGGGTCAATATCGTTATTCATCTTCTTCTATTATCTCGAATAACGATATTCCTAATAAATATTACCACCGAAAATTTTCCCCATTATTAGTCACTGTGAGTAAATCATTTGTTGAATCATGATATCAACAACAGAAACAGTCTCCAATACCAGTTATATATTGCGTTCAACATCGAGTCTCTTGCAGCCATCGTATTCGTGGCCTAACGTTGATCTTGTAGGTGATATACAGTTTCATAATATAAGTGATAAAAGTATACTGTTTTGAGTCGGTAAAAAAAAAATTACTGCTCTTTTTTGGGAATGCACCGTCTTATTCTCCACACACGCGTTATTTCGTGTATTTTTTACTCTCTTTATTTATTTACACTTCGTTAAGACATCATACACATAATACTCTCCTCCTCCTCTCTCTCTCTCTCTCTCTCATTGGCTTTTTTATATTTTCTTGCGTCTTATGATTATAAAAAGAAAAATCATTGCTTTAAACAATGATTTGCTGTGCTCAACATATCTTCTCTATGTGGGAATTTAATCTTAATTATTTCACTAATATAGCATGTCATATATGAACAATTTTCTATAATCTAATTCTTACCTTTTTATTTTAGGAATTAGAAGAGAAATTTGTGCGTGAAAATGCCAAACAACGTGATTTTTATTGTGACACACCATCATCTACATTTACATCTGTGAGTTAAAAAGAGATAACATTTTTTATTTTTATTTTCTTCTTACACTATATAAGTATCTATGTCTTCCCTATTTTTTTGTTTATTTGTTTGTTTTCGCATTTGCTCAGTTGTTGTTTGTTTTCGATAAAAATAATAAATTATATTTTAGTTATTTTATCATTGCTTCTGTTTTCTCCTTTTTAATTTCATACATAGAAAAGATAGCAGACAAACGTTTATGTCAAAAAGATAACGTTCTAGTAAAGAATTGATTTCTTTTTCTTTCATGACTTATATTATTCATTGGTGTATGCGATCAGACAAATTTCTTTTTTCTTGTTGTTCTTTTTAAATGTGACGCGACTAAATACTTTTTTTATCTCTCATTTTATCTAATGCTTTAATATTCAATATTGTAAATTCAATTCATTTAAGATGTTTTTTTTCAAAGAATAGATCTTATTGAATATGTTTGTCGATGATTTTTTGTGTGTGCTCTAAGTACACAACATAAAATTTGATGAGCCAAAGAACTTCTTTCCTCGTTTTGTGTGTTGCATGTCTATGTACATACAGATATATTACAAACTCATATTATGTGTATTTTTCTGTGTCTTTAGTCCGTCCTTTTTTGTCTCTATGATCAAAACTAACTTTTTGTGCCTTTTTTTTTATCTACTGTGTACTATTTGTTGTTGGTTTTTATGATATAATATGGGGGTTGATTTTTTTTTAAGCATGATTTATGTGCTTTTTTTGCTTCTTGTGAATTTTCCTTGTCTTTCGTCAGATATATATTATTTTGTTGTTGATGTTGTTTCCAATTGTGATGATTGCTCACATACGAAAAGAAAAGTCTTGATGATAGAGTGGCAGTAATGAAAGAGATCTGGAAACAATAAGACAATGTTTTTCTTTTCTTTTTATTTCAATTTAAAAATGTAAACGAGATATTTGACCTTGCTCTGCTCATTTCCAGTGGCAAAGTCCTTTTTCATCGTCATCATTGTCTTCTTTATTGTTTTTTTTAAATAATAAAATTTACATTATAGTTTGAATGAAAAATACTTATCTATATCATACTTGTTATTAAATAGTTAGCTGATCTGTATATTTGGAAGATTTGCAGTTTCACTGGACCATTTGATTCTGATACATAAATAAACAATGTCTCTGGTTCCAGTAGACCAATTACAATACATTTTTTTAATATTTTACTCCTCTGACATGCACTCACTACCATAGAGAAAATCGGCACTTTTTATCAACAGGATCTCGAGATACGGGTTATACAACCTTCAAAATTTCGGATTTTGGAGTCATCTGCCGAATAAAAATCTCTTTTTTTCTCGGCTATGTTTTGGTCTTACAAGTGGATCTTACCGTCTAGATGGTAGTAAAGACTTTTAAATTTCAGAATTCTAAGACTAGTTTACTGCTTCGTTACATTTTTTTGTATAAATTTTGATGAAAACTAGGCTTACAGATCCTATTGGACTTTTTTGTCTCGTGGCATGAAAAAATGTTACTGTAACCAAAAAGATCAACAAAAAACTTGAAAGTGGCGTCAAACGATAGGGGACAAAAGTCGTTATAGCGTGTGACAAAAGAAAAACTTCTGATGTTCTCCTTCAGGTGGGAAGATGCCAGGTAAAATAGAAAAGTGTTTTTTTCACATTAAATGTCCAGTGAGATTTTCGATTTTGTTTTGTGCTTATCTCCGTCTAACAAGAATCGTTTCAAGCGAAACTTTGCATCTTGTATTTACTCGTGGTATATTTTCGATAAAAAAATCAGCTTCTGAACACATGGTGTAGAAGAAAAATGCTAGTTATCATCAAAATGTCTCCCAAGGTTTTTCTGGGAGTATCTACGTCAAATCCCAAGATAACCATACTTGCTATATATCGATCGATTTGTCGTCGAAGGGACTATCGAGCTAGACATGTCCCAGCTTTGAAGTGTGCTTGTACCGATCGAAACAAGGCTTAAAACGAGAACAAGTGTGTCTAGAATCTCATTTTTGTGATAATTGCAAAACTGGATGCTGTTTATACTTGGATAAAGAGTTTTTAGTGTTGAAAAACCGAGTTTCTCATCCGTATGTGCTGGCACATGTGTGCATGCACCATCAAATTTTCCTCACCGAGATTCATCAAATGGTATGTCAGACTTATGCGCTTCTGCCAGCAACAAACTTCTTTTAGCGCAGCCATCTTGAGAATTATTTCGAACAATTGTTCTACTATCTGAGAGGCTCTCAGATACCCAGATCATCGAAAACGGTGTAATTAATTGTCTATTAAATGTCAGTTAATAGCTAATGAAATAGTCACTAAACGGTCGTCTTTACATCTTATAAATAGGAATGCTTTAACGCCTTAAAATGACACTTTTTAACAGGCTGAAAACTGTCCGAAAATAGGCAGTTAATAGCATCATGTGATGTCCGTTTTTGCACTATTACTGGCTGTTAACGGCCAATTATTGAACGTTTTCTTTGTTAATTTTTTTGATTGATACTCCAAATATAGTAATTTCCAAAATTTTTGGTTTCTTACATTCACGGTGCCAGCAATGGCACAAGCTCCAGACCAGAGACCGTCGCAGGACAGGGCTGGGCTGTTACCCTGCCCTGTTCTGCCGGGCGATGCGATATATTTTTGTTGCCCTGACCTGCAACAGAAAATTCCTTGATTTGCCCTGCGAGAGATTGACTTTTCAGATTTTCAAGCTTTTTTTTAAGTAAAATTTCGAGATCTCTCGTACATGTGAAGATAAAAATGACAGCCAACTTTTCTAAAATTGATAATTAATAATAAAAAAAGATTCTGTTACGCAAGAGAAACACATCCAGTATTTGTGATGAGTTTCTTGAAGATAAAGTCTTCTAAGTTAAAGAGAAAAACTTTCTTTTGCGTTGGAGGGCGTCCTCTCCAGCCAGACACGGCAGGGCCAAAACAATTTTTAAATAATTTTTTGACCGAGCAGGGCGGCAGGACAGGGCAAAAAAAGTTGTCCAGCGACAGTCTCTGATCCAGACCCAGCGACGCCTTCTACTAGACAAGTTTCGATGACTCATACAATCAAAAACTTTGCAAATTTCTTTCAAATTTCAATGGTATATATACCAGTCATGATTGTAAAATAAAAAGGTGAATGAAACAGTCATTTTAAATGTCAGTTTTTTCGTTTTATATTTTGCAATTGAAGAATGGTCTATTAATATCCATTTAATTGTGACAGTTATTTTACATTTTAGGATGCACAGTTGAATGCGTGTTTTTTGCCATTATAATAGCCAAAAAGTTTACTGTAAACAGTGATTGTTAACTACCTTTTTTTCAACATTTTGTGGTATGTTAAATGCCTTATCACATAACAGACAATGAACTGACTGTTACCTGGCAGTTTTTAACAGTTATTTGGATGTTATTTTGGCATACATTTAAAACGTATTACATAGCTTATTAAATGTCAGTTATGTTTTACCTGGGTAGTAGAACAAATCGTACCATGTTCCTAGATCATATCCTTTTCTATCAAAAAATCAGTCCCATATTCTCGATTTTTGTATAGATTGTGGCGTGGTAGACTTATTACTACCTTGCCAGATTGTGTGAATCACAGTCTTTCTCGTACCACATTTATAAGTGTCAATAGTTATATCAGGAAGATCCTGTAGATTATATTATTTTGAATTTTTCGATGCGTTTAATCGACACATTCAATCGTTCTGGCTTTTCGTCATCTATATAATTAACTTGCAATTGGTTGGAGCCAGTTCCAAATAGAAATCTTGTACATATTTTAACTTGAAATGCAAATCACACATAATAATAATATGAATTGATTAACTCGAATTAGTCACTTATTATATAGCAACCAAGTTTTTCGCGATTTTATTTAAGAATATATTGCTGTTTCAGATAATTAATTTATGTATAGTACATCAATGAGTACTGAAATAAAATCAGACTACGAGCCTAAAATATCCGTTGCGATTGGATTTTTTGGTACAATTTTATATTTCATCTTTTTTATGCTATGTAAATATTTTACCACATCTTGTACAAGAAAAACACTCTCCCCATCACCAGTATTAAGACGACAAATCAGTAACGATGATTCAATAAACAATGATAATCAGACCATAACCACGACTGTATTGCGACGACAGATACCAAATACAAGTGATCTATCATTGCCATACAAAGATTTATCGGAGCAAAAGAGTGTTCAATCATCATTAAAAAATTTATTATTTTCTACACCAGATGATAATGAAGAAATTGAAGGACAACAAACACGTCGAATAAAATCAAATACATCGTTGAAATATGCCATTAAACTATCGATACAAATTATATTATATTTAAAAAATCAATTTCGTCTGTTTTTTATTGAAACAGATGATGAAGAATGGAAAAGAACAAATACATTGATTAGTTGGATTCATGCTACGATTAGTGGAACATTTGTACTCTACAGGTAGATTAGTTTAACTTATCTCATAGCCATTTTTTCATAAGTGAAAAAGAAAACCGTTTAAATCGAGAAGTTTTAGTGTATTAAAAATCGCAAGTCTGTTACACATAGTATGTGGGCTGTCGATAATTATGTGCTATATAATAGAGTTTCTTCGATGAAATTCATTGGGTGAAAGTTTTGGATTTAAACAAACACTAGATAAGATTTCATTTCCTGTTTTCGTTTTTATCGGCCCTGCTACAAGTACCGAGATATTCACCATTCTACACTATAGATGGTGCAGCTTTTATGAATATCTCGATACTTGTAGCAGGACCGATAAAAACGAAAACAAGAAATGAAATCTCATCTAGTGCTTGTTTAAATCCAAAACTTTCATCCAATAAATTTCACCGAGGAAATTCTCTTATATTTTCCCCACTAACCCCATACTAACATATCGATTAGTTCTCGTGCGTGATAACAACGGATACCAACTAAATAAAAACATAGAGAACGACACAGATTTTGTGAAAATAAAGCTCAAAATGTGAGACTGTCGTTCTCATGAGGAAGGACCCTTGTAATCACACGGTATTTTTCGGCAACTTTTAACCTACAAATGTTCATTCTTTTGTTTTTGTGAAATTTATTAAAAGAAAGATATATGAAAATCAGATTAATGTTTTATGTACACTTGAGAAAAATCTTTATTGTCGTCTTGTTGTCGAAAATAGTTATTTAAACTCGACTCATTTTTGTTTAGTCTTTATGTATATTGGAACGAGATGCTAGATGACATGGTAAAACATGTGACTATACAAACATATTTACTCAGCTGTTTTTGTTTCGGTATGTATTTATCTTTATTAATGATATGCGTCTAATAATCTTTTCTGATATTGTCTTTTAGCCTATTTTATTTTCGATCTTATTGATATGGTTATTAATAAGAAAGCTGCTAATTTATGGGAAGTAACACTTCATCACATAACTGTAAGTATTTACAGAATAGACAATCTAAATTTAATAGTTAGATCGTATTTAAAGTGAGAATGATAACAAGACGTGTAAAAAATAAATTTATTCATATTTTTTGAAACTAGTTCATTTTTAAAATTGAAATTTATTATTAAAAATAGAGTTTTTTTTAATCAACAAATTTATCTTCATATCAAAATATGAATACATTCAATAGACAAATATATTTTTATTTTTATTCTAGACAATATTATATATTGGTTTGAATATTTTTCAATGTCGTTGTGTGGGTTATTGTATTGTATCATTACTTGCTGAAGTGAACAGTATATTTTTACATGCACGAAAATTATTTCAATTATATAAAGTTCCAAAAACAAATTTACTTGTAAAATTGAATATGGTTATTAATAGCATGTAAGTATTTACTATTTCTTTACTGTTTGATTTATTTTATCTTCTTTTTGTTCTAGCACATTTTTTATCTGTCGAATTTGTATGTTGATATTTGTTAGCGTATCATTTTATAGAGATCGACAACGTGTGGGCAAATTTTATGATATTTATATCACTTATTTTTTGTTACCAATTATGTTTATTATGAATCCAATTTTGTTGTATAGAATAGTACGAACGGATTTTATTAAACCATATTTAGCATCCGATAGTAGAAATAGAACATTTCCGATAACAATGCGCATACCAAGATTTAATACAAAATCGTACATGTCGTAGAGATGGTATCTTTTCTTTTATTCACCTTTTTTTTTCTCGTGCAATTCCTTCGAATAGGTTTTTCTGACGGAAGGAGACATGTAAGTCATATACTTAGTACTCTAGCGTTTTTGCTAGCTTTTTTTACCCTCTTTTTTCCTATAGTTATGATTTTAATCAAGTAAATAATGGCAGTGGTATAGCCTCTGATTAGAATTTTAAAAACACCTGATCGGAGGAGTATCACATTTTTGTCTCAAACGGGACTGCTTTGACAAAAAAATTTTTTTCTTACAACAGAATCATTGAATCTCATTTATCTACATCTTTTATAACGAATGGTTTTTTTTTTCTTCCAAAAGAGGTAAATAAGTGCGCACATATTTTTATATGACAAACAAAAAATTATTATCAACGTTGTAGTCAGATACAATGATTCAAATTTGATAAATTGTTTCTATTTCTACAGAAAACTAGATAAATTGACATAAATTGGGAACATGATAACTCTGAAATCACTGATATATATATATATATATATCTTGTTTTCTCTGAAAAATTTGTAGATTATTCAATATTCTCTTTTTCTATCCACCTTTAAAGTAGATACTTTAATTTTTCAGATACATTTAACGAGGTTATCCTTCGTATAATATACACAATCTAGTCTTTTTCTTTTTCTATCTATATACACTAGTTCATTATATTTTATCTGATTATATATATATATATAGTTTTTTTTTTGAATGGTATATATCTTTCTTTTAACTTTACTTGGCTATTACATTTTACCGTTTGTACTCATTTATAATAAATATTAATCTCTTTTATAACTGTTGTACAAATTTTTTGTTGTTCCTAGTGTGTTGTATTTTATTTTCTACATTTTGTTTAAATGTTTTTTTTTTCTTCTTTATTTTACTTACTATTGTATCTGTTAAGTAATTGTGTATATAGTTTTTTTCTGACCTTATTTTTTGTTTGAACAACAGTGAATAAAAGAGAAAATAATTAGGGGAAAATAGTATACTTGTTCGATCATTCATGTTTCGAATTTCTATTTATTTTTCTGACATATAAAATGGTTTTTATTATATCAATCTATGATGCTTAAATATATTTTTTATTGAATATTTTATTGAATGTAAATCACATAAGACATAAAAAGCAAAACAATAATTCGATATGTTTTAAGAGTTTAAAATAAAAGATTATAATAATTTTATTAATCACAAATAGATTCATAACTTGGAGGTAATTCTTCATCATCATCAATTATGGTATCAAATCTATCATTTGGCTCTGGTGTTAAACATGTTAAAGTTTCTGTTTCATGTTCTCGTGGTTGAGGATCTGTACCACATGTAATTGGTATTGTAAGATCAAAATCAGCAAAAAGTCCTTTAACTTTGACTTCAAATTTTAGTTCATAATGAATTGATACATGTACAGGTGTACGAGTTTTTGTACTATGATATTCATAGGTTGGTGGTATATTTAATGTTGGTGTTATTATACAACATGTCTCTTTAATTTGTTCGTCATTTATATTTTCTATATGAGGAATGGTGACACGAAATAAAATTCGTCGTCGTCGACATGTTTCAACAATATAACGTTGAATAAGAAAAACATCAATATGTTTAATTGTAATACGATTTTGATTATGAATATTTAAATTTAATGTTATTATTTCACCAGGAACAAAACTCGCTTTTTCTAATGTACCATGTAAAACAATATCTTTTCGATTTTGACTATTAAATCTAAGTACAGACATTGCATTAGATATTTGTAGCAAATTTACACGAGGAAATATACGAAAATTAATACGTTGTCTACTATCGGGTTTGTACCATCTATAGAAGAAGAAAAAAAATAAAAACATTTAAAGTAAATTTATTCATAAACTAAAGTAGATTGTATTCTAATACTTACGGTTTATCAACAAGAACTTGTAGAAAATATTTTACATAGGGATAATCTGTTTCATGCAAACTAGGTGGTAATTTATCGGGTAATTGAATATTAAATTGATATTTATATTGACCAGGATCAAGTTGAATTTCATCTTGACCATGTGGTGGTTGTGCCAATATTATTTTTGTTCCATATATACGTACATCATGATATTCTGTTTTACGTTCAGTTTGACCATTTTGAATACGAACCATACGTATTGTTGTATAACCAATTTCTCCTGTCATTGTAAGAGATACTTCATCAATTTTAGTTCGATCAGTTAAATCTAAAACAACTGTTCCACTAACATTATCACCAGTAAAAAATGTTGATTGTGAACTATCAAATTTAATTGTTATTTGACTATTACCATTACCCATATTTTCAAATGAATAATGCTAAATAAATAAAAACAAAAAATATACATTCAAACTAGATAAAAATGATTAGTAGAAATTTTACTAAATATTTTAATAATTACTTATTTTAACCAACTTTTGAATTTAGAAACGTTGCTTTTCTTTTGACATCGTTGTCATCTTTTTCTTACATATATATATATAGAGAGATCAACTTTTCTTTGAAATGTGTGTTCAATTTTTATGAGTAAAACAATTATTTTTATTGTTTACATATATATGAGATGTCAAAGATAGTTATTATATGATAGAAGAAGAAAAAAAAATTTTTTTGAAAAAAAAAAGAAAATGCTCAATCGATATGAATAGCATGTTGTTCGATCTCAGTAAGATCTATGCTCTGTTTTTTGAGCAGTAAAAACCGACCGTTTTATTTTTTTGTTGTTTTTATTTTTTTTTTTTTTGTTTTATTTCTCAAAAATGGAAAAAGATTTTATTTTTGTTTAATCATCTGTGAAACATTTTTTTTGTTATTTTCTTCTTTACCTATGTCGTGTTCAAAAATTTTCTCTTTCCCATTCTATCAACGTTCAAAGAAAAAAGGAATAGTGCACAAAATTTAGAGAATGAGTGTGTTTTTTTAGAGAATGACGAAGGTGGAGTAAAATGTTTTAAGCAGAAATTTCATGCGTTCAGAACGTCTAGTAATTGTAAAATTTTTTATTACTTCAAATGAGCACTGTGTGAAAAATTGCAACATTGAGTTTCATATTGGAAAAAAAAAGGAAGATGGAGATATTTTTTGATTAGAAATGAAATATTAATTTTTACATACAATCGAAAGCGTTGTTTAAGAACGTAAAACGATTATAAAAAAATAGGGAATTAATATAAATTTAAAATTCATTTACTTTTTGCTTGATCTCATTGACTATGATGCTTATTAAATGTGACTTCAAATATTTCTATTTCAAATTTTAGTTTAATAGAACTTAAGTAATAAACTGGATGTATGTGGAAAAGTGGAAAAAAAATTGATAATGAAAAAAACAAAAAAAATAGAATGTATTGTTTTATGTTGTCTATTTAGTTTTAATTTTTTTAAATTATTTTCTCCCAAAATTTCTTAACCATAAATAGAGCAGAAATCTGGATTGTTGTTTTAAGGATCCTTATTATTGCTGCAAACGATTATTCTCTTAAGAGGGTATAGACTCTTAGTAATTCTTATTTCTTTTACTTATTTGTGAAATATGTGGAACTGGATATATTCTAAAGGTTATTGTTCGATGGATTATCACATATTGAAGTCAATTTTTTAATGAAATAGTTGTTTTTCAACTGTCACGAATCCCAGAAATGTCGTTCAAACATATTTTTAGAGACACTTGGTTGTGTAAAAAAGTAATAATGAAGTTTGTAGTTCAATATTTTTTTTGGCAAAAGTATTCTATCAGTCATACCAGTTTGTTAGATTAAAAAATAATGTGTTGCAAAACGTGAAATATTCGGCTATAATACTGGATGCTAGTAACAATATATTTTTTCAATTGAGTCTGCGACATATACGACACATTCTTTTACCCGTATAGAAAATCGTGAGAATTTAGTATTTTTCGTCTCTTATTCTATTTTTAAAATAATTGTAGCTTGTTTCGGCTGCTCTACGTAATATCGGTGCGACGAATCTGTCTCTGATATCCAATGGTCTCAAAAGAATTTAGCTATTCAGATATAATTTTGGGAGCGGAATCAGTACAAGGACTAGATTGATTATAAAGACTAGGTTAAACTGCATGAACTTATATGATAGCCAAAAAGTATGAACAATTAAGCTCCATTTGTCTCAACGAAAAGTTGAATTTCAAGTCTTAAAAAACCGCTAAATCAAAGAAATGAGTTACAATTTTCTTTTATCGACATTTGACGCTTGTTCGAGATCAAGAGATGACGTGAAATATCAAAGTACATCAGGCTAAAAGTACATCTTTAGAATCTTAGTAATTGCGACACTTCGACCGCAACACATTCGTTTGTGACACATTTTGCTCACAAGGGAAATTTTCCAGATGTTCCCTTCCGATTACAATGATTTGTACATGGATCGATAGACCTCAGTGAGGTAGAAAATACTCTAAAAGGATTCGTGCCCATGACTGTTAAAGGTCCAGTTTTCTGGAAAACCAGTTTTTGAAGAACTAAAAAATAACAAAAATCTCTTTTTAATGAGGCATGATTGTAGCCCGCAAATTGCTGGTTAAAATGAGACATCTCCCAGCTCTACACGACCTTTCTTTGCAAAGTTATAGAATTTACAAGAAAAGCCCTAAATGTTCCTTGTCAGCTTAAAGCTACAGAAATAAGAAATAAATTTAGGGCTTTTCTTGTAAATTCTATAACTTTGCAAGTAAAGGTCGTGTAGAGCTGAAAGATGTCTCGCTTTGATCAGAAGTTCATGGGCTACAATTATGATCTATTAAGAGAAAGTTTTAGGGACTTTTCGAGGTTTCTGAAAATCAGTTTTCCAGAAAACCGGGTCTTCAAAAGTCATGGGCACGAATCCTTTTAGGGTATTTACTACTGCACTGAGGTTTATCGATCCATGTACAAATCATTGAAATCGGAAGGGGACATCTCGAAAGGTTCCCTCGTCAGAGTGTATGTGACACAATTTACTGCGACATATAAATGCGACCATTACTTTTTAGCGTGTACGAATATGGACTTAATCGTGCATTAAAATGCTTTTTTCGTGCATAAACCGCAGAAAAATATCTTGGAAATCCGCTCTCTTTCAGTATAGAAAAAGTGTCAAATTTCCTCTCAACTATTTCAGTTAAATAAATCATAACGGCAGCGGCGGCGGAACGACTTTCAAACCGTGGAGCAAGGATTTTTTTGGGAAGACTAAGTCCATAAAACGTAAGAAAATAATAATTTTCCGTTGTGTGAAAAAGGAAACTTTTAGAATTCGTAGGGATGTCGTCCCAACGACCCCGCATGGCTTCATCGCCGCTGATAAAATATTTTCTAGATATATTCTTAAGATTTTTTAGGACTGAAATTTCTTTTCTTTTATTTGTTTAAATTATTTTCACATAAAGAAAATATTATTCGACTTCGACTATGCAATTTGTCATTCTAAACAACATTGCTAACGGTCGTTTTTTCAAAATGCTTTATTTAACTGTCATAAAGATGATTTGTTTGTACAAAATAAATTTGTTTTACCACCTCTTCTTTGTTACAGAAATTTCTATAACAAAAAAGCGATAGTAAAATAGAATTATTTAGAACTTTATTTAATCGAAATTGTAGCCAAGACTTCTGAAAAATAAATTTAGCATTAAAAAAAATACAATTTTGTAGTTAAAATTAAATTTATAACGGAGCATGTGATAATTAGTAAAACAAACGTTTTAACTATATAACTTGATGTCTTGTATTAAAACACATAAAAATTAAGAATTTTGCACTGTCTTTGAGTTTGTCAAACATTAGCAGCAAAATTTTCAACTTATACAAAAAAAGGTTTCTCAACAATTCAATTTTTTTTTCTTCAGAAAAAAAAGTTTTTATTTAACTTAAAGTCTTCTACAAAGTGCAGCAAAAATATGAAGAGGAGTTTTCTCCTCATTATTTTTATCAGCGAATATAAACAATGTAATTCCACAAAAAACGCTGTTTTGTATCGCATGTCAATAAAAAAAAACTGTTGAAAAGTTCAAACATAATGGCACTATGTCAACCGTATAAAATTGACGAATCGAATAGAGTTAAAGACGCTCATATCACCGCACGCTTCAGAATTTTGAAGTGCGATTTGAGTTCGGGGGAATACGATATTCGGAATAAGCATGATCGATTGTCTATGTGTCCATGATTTTTAGTACGACGTACTTCGAAAATTAAGTTAAAAAGAGCTTTTAAAATTTTGAAAAAGATTCGAGAGAAGACTACCTGTCGGCGGGGTCTTCGAGAAAGCCTGATGATTCATTCACTACGACAGGCAACAACCTACGGACAGACTTGCGCAGGTGCAGAGAACATTGTGGTAGACCTGAGCAGTGCTCTGTCGTATACCACTGCAGCATTCAGAGGCAGGTAGTCTTTTTTTATAGGGTGATAATAAAGTTTTTCGTTATTTTTCAGCATTTCCTTCTACACTTTAGTCTTCTGTGGATTAGCACAGACAACTCTATTGAGTAGATATCGGATGCAACTGAAGTGCATCCAATCGACTGACGCTGCATTCATCACACAAGGAAACCGTTATATGTTAATAGTATCTTTTCGGCGACACCTTTTTTAGACTTGACTACAGCATATCCCATACACCCTCATCTTACAACTGAATTACAAACTGTGATGTGCTTATTCAGTAATTATTTGTTTCTATCTGATGATTTCTAGTTGTTTTTACAGTTTACATCTGCTATTTCTGCCTGTTCGAATAAAGTTTGAGAGAAACAAATATTAGGTGGATAAAACATACTGTAGTCAAGTGTAAAAAGGTGTCGCAGAAAAGATACTATTAACATATAA